AATTAAGATGATATTCATAACAAATATATTAAAATTATAAGAATCTAGAATCTTAAACTGCAGACAGTTCCCAGTGGTCACTTTTATCATTCATTAAAATGTAAATTAATGTTTCTTGTTATTATAAAATTAAAATATAAAGAATATTTATTCCGTAGCCACGTTGAAATACGTGTATTTTGATTTCAAATCTAATGAAATGGTGCGTAGAATACACTGAATCTTGTTTAGTGATGATCAAATTGAAATAAAAACATAAGATTCCCAGTGTTCGCGTGCAGAAAATATATTCGTTGGCTTTGTGGTCCCAGAAAATAAAATATTTTATGCAGCGCTGGCATTCACCCCCTGCAACATTAAATTTAAATTTCAGTTAACCTAAGTACTCTGTGTCTCTGACGAGCTAGTTCAAATTTTGACGAGAGTGGATGAGATTTTCTGCTCGTTTGACTGGTACGCATAGAATAGCAAGTCTATACTCCCATATACTGTACAACTCTTGCTCTCGTTTGACCGGGACATGAAAGTTGACGAAATTCTCATGCACACTCTTGCTTGCTAAGGGCGAGGCCTCGAAGACCTGTTCATATGAGCCTGGCTGCTGAGACGCTCGCCTGAGTAGGATGAATTATTTCTGTATTTATATGACTGTTTTTACCCAACATCGCCATGGTGGGATGCTTTACTAATGTGTGTTTAGGTCTTTTAAAGCGATATGTCAATAACTTTGTCTTATTGGAAAGAACTTTTAAAGTTATATATGAAGACCCTTTACAACTTTTTGGTACCTTGCTATAGGTTTTCGAAATATTTTGACCAAAAACAGTGTGCAGACGGCCACCTTGGTCACAGAATAGGAAGTTATACCAGAAGCGTAACTCTAGTCGTTTTTCTTATTGTTTGACGTCCACGAAAATTTTAACTCGCTCACGCCAATCCACGCCATCCTGGCTAGTACAGCCGGAAGTTTTTATCAGGTTTTCGTAGGTACAAAGTGCCGGTTGTACTAGCCAGGATGGCGTGATTGATGACGAATCGCTTGTAAAAACGTGGACAAATACTTGCTTGAGTTACGCTTCTGCTATACCTTCCTATTCTGTACCTTGGTATTATAATAGACGGTTTTAGATAACAAGACGCTGACGTCAAGAGGACGTGAAAATGACGTATGCACCTCGCGTTCACTTCCGGGTTTTAATCTGGGACGGCTTGTTTGTCTTTTTCGAAGCAAATTTTTGTTTTCTTGTTACCTGTTCATTCCTGTATTGTTTTCAATCAGTTGTCAAGATATGTGCAAGAAAAAGTTATATAATACTGGCCAGGTGTTTCCTGACGAATTAGTATGAACATTCAATAAGTTTTTTTTAGAAAAAACCGTATATTTCTGTAGTTTGAAAAGTGAACTTTGTTGCATCATTACAACACAGGTATTATTTACGAGCTAATAAATACAGGTATTATTTATGAGCTAAATGCTTTATTGTAGCCTATTCAATAAAGTTTGTCAACTGCTCAGTATAAATATAGCATCAGTGTTTATATTGGTAAAATTTAATACTTTTTCATTTTTTTTTCATGTCCTACTTTTTGCACTGTTGTGACAGAGCAACTAAAATTGATTGAGTTTTTAACGCTTTTAAGTGCTTTTATTTTTCTATTTTCCTACGTTTTCCTGATTTTAAACAGTTGTTACTATTCATTGATGTGATTTACCCAATAGATTTGGGAGTCGAAATAAAATTGAAAAAATGCCGGATAAAATTTGAAAATTTCCGATCAAATTTCATTTTCATTTTGGACGAACTTTTTTCTAGACCATTTTTAGACCATATATGGCAATTTCCATTAACACAGCTGGGCCCTCCTCCCACCTCAATCTTTCCACTTCATCAAAGGCGGCGCCGGAGGAGGTGTGGGAGGAGGGGGCAGCTGTGTTAATGGAAATTGCCATATATGGTCTAAAAATGGTCTGGAAAAAAGTTCGTCCAAAATGAAATTTGATTGGAAATTTTCAACTTTTATCGGGCATTTTTTCAATTTTATTGCAAATTATTGATTAACTGATTAAAAAGTGATAATTGTAAATACATTTTGGGAAATTAAGCAAAACATTGAGCAAACTGAACGAGAAACAATACGTTAAGAAAAAAATAAGGAAAAATATTATGTCCGGAAATTGTTTTACCTCTATCCCCCCCCCACGACTATTCCCCACTACCCCCCCCCCCCCATACTCTGTCAAACACCAATGTCCGGTTGTGAGGAACATTACACCGTTACACAGTTGAACCATGCACATAAATCCGCAAACAAGCATGTGTTTTCTCTCTTAGTCTTTCTAACCAGGAACTCTACGCGCGTGATAAACTTTCAGCGATCATAAAAAATTGCAATGACAAAACATGGTCTCGTCTCAAAAAATCGATTGTAAGACGATTTCTTCAATTACGCCAGATTCATGCGTGAAAACATCCTATAGGCTAAGTTTTATAAAGCACAAAGCCACAATAACTAGTTGACTGATCTATTAATGCTAATCTAACTGTATGCCTCGTTCTCAAAATAACGACTTGACTGCGTATCCGCGCGCGTATCCACTAAAAAATAGAGCTACTTCACCTTTAACACTATGATAATTTAATATGTTAATGCTAAGCCACTGTATGCCTCGTAGCTACAGTACCTTTACCACCATGGGATTTTAATTTATCAATCGATTTATTATTAATCTATTGAGAATAAATATAGATGTATTACTCATCGTATCCATGATGTTTGAAAGACACAGCTTAAAAAATGGACGGGTATTCTGCAATCACTCCGAAAGATATTGCAATGCTTGTTCAGAATTATGGAATCAAAAACAATAAAACTTACAAAGAGTTTACAAAAGCAAAGAAGAGAGTTGCAAAAAAGAGTTACAAAAGCGAGAAAAGCAAGTGGGAATGGCGAATATAACTTAATAAAATATGTCAGATGTCATCATCACACAAGATATGAAGCCGCAATGTGTCCTGCTCAGATTTTGACATCTCAACCAAACCAAGCAATATTATTTTGAAATCACCATTATTGCGCGCGCAAGACACACTGGCAAGCGCATCTAATAAGAAGAGTATCCGCTGAATGTTTTGTTTAAGGGCGCGGGCAATTATGCGTCGATTCGACTGTCAATGAGGAGTCCGACTGTCTACGGAAAAAATATATTTGCAACGCCGCCCCTGCACCTCATCCCTTCCCCCTACCATGGATAATAAAATAAATGGATAGGAAACTAGCTGACGTGATCTAATGTTTTCAATGGGCTGATGGCGTGGTTGGATGTTGAAACCTAGTTGCAAACCAAATAAAAAAAAACGGCATGTTTAGCAATTATGCAGCTAAACATTTTAGTCAAAGAGCAAATGAATATAACTACGCCATTCTACGATGAAATCTCTAAGTATTCCCAGTCAATTTTAGCAAATATTCCAAGCACTAAACAGTAAAAAAATTAATCACAAATTTCGTTAAAATTGGGGACGCCAATTTCGTAGCTACAAGTGTAAAAAAATACAAAACAAAGACGAAAAACATTTACCTTGAATACTTTGTCGTGGCTTAGGCATGTTTTTAAAACAATTAGACCAGTTGATGCTTCAATATTTACTTTTTTAAAGCGGAATGTATAGCGAAACAACAAAAATGCTGAGAACTTTGCAATACGCGTGACGTCACAGATTGCAACTAGGTTGTTTTTGCTTACGTCAGCTAGAGTCCTATCCATTTATTTTATTATCCATGCCCCTACTTACGTTCACAATGATGATGCTTCCATCCAGCCACACATTTACATTTGTCATTGCTTTTACATGTGCCTCCATTTTGACAAGGTTCATCATCAGAGCAGTCGTTTCCTCCTCCTGGTGCTGTAAAAGTTTTATTTATTTTATTTTAACAAATTTATTCGGATCAAATTATTACAATATACGTTCACTATATGCAGACTGAAGAAAACAACCAACTATACAAATAATTGGATAGCGATACTATACAGATATATATTTAGCAGGTGATCCTCGTACCCAGGCGCAAATAACTAAAAATAGGCACACTACATTGTTTTTATATAGATCAGTGGCTAAGCTGAGCGAGCGCGCGGGGGTGCTTTGGGAGGACGCAACCGGAAAGGGAAGCTTCGTTTCCCGCGTCCTCCCCAAGCACCCGGCGCGCTCGCTCAGCTTAGCCACTGATCTACTGTATATAAAAACACTGTAGTGTGCCTATTTTTAGTTATTTGCGCCTGGGGGGGGTAGGCCACAGGGTGAGATAAATCGCGTACTTACAGTCTGGTAAGAGGGGAGGTGTGGGGAGATCGTTTTGCACCTCCCCTGAGATTGTTTTGCACCTCCCCCTGAAAAGTGATGCACCTCCCCCTGAAAAGTGATGCACCTCCCCCTGAAAAAAGATGCACCTCCCCCTGAAAAGAGATGCACCTCCCCCTGAAAAGTGATGCACCTCCCCTTGGGCGAGTTTCAATGATTGATCAAAGTGAATATTTGATGGTTGCTTAGGGTCTACACTTCGTAAGAAAGTTTTTTTCTGTAAAATTGAAACAGTGATAGCCATTCATCTCTGTGTCAAATACCCTTTTAATTGCAATGTTTTGAAAGAAACGTTGTAGCAATTGTAATGAAGGGCAACATTGGACAAGTCAACAGTCATAATTCATTAATTACACTGATACTGCATATGTACACAACTGTGCATGCATACGTCACGTCGTTGACTTTGGCCTGTTCTACAGTAAGCCCTAACTTTTCATGGGAGTCATAAGCTAGACCGCTGTACCTCCCCCAATTTTTTTTCCACCTCCCCCACTATTTCCACCAAAATACAACCTTGCCAGCACTATTATAGCCACTCCAAATTAGACTTTAGTTAAAGCTGTGTGGTTTTCCCAAAATATTTGATATCTTGTTTACATTAGGACTGTTCGGTATACCGATATACCGAAAATATTGGTATTAAATCAATATCGGTATTTATAATATAGCATTTGTAAATTCCGAACGCTGATTGGCTAAGAGCCGTGTTGATATAACTCCATGTCAACACGGGAAATTTTCCGCCGCTTGTAAACACAGAAATTTTTCTTATTCTTCGGGCTTTTGACATTGCTATATTATAAAACAAATATAAAACATTTTTTCCGTATTGATATATAGTTATATCAACACTCGCGGAAGTTGGGAAAACTCGAAATTGTATGAAAACACTCCGCCCTTCGGGCGTCGTGTTTCCACACAATTTCTCGTTTTCCCAATTTCCACTCGTGTTGATATAACTGTATATCAACATGGAAAATGTTTTATATTTGTTAAATCGATACCGGATATTCAACCATACCGATATACCGAAATTTCCGATACACCGGAATTTTTCGGTATATCGTGTTAAACTTACCAACTATATGGCGAAACCATAACCTTTATTTTACTACTGAATGGCAATTCATAGAACTTTCTATTGCAATGATTTAGAATTTCCACTTCATGAGATTTTACACTGAGTACGTGTCGTTCGAAACATGTTCGAAACAGCTTCGAAATTATCGTTGGTGGGTGGGTACTGGTGATAACGTTGATTCGACATATGCGTAGCAACATGAATATGGACGTGTCCCCTAAGATATTGAAGTATTTTACTAACAGTAAACCGACCCACAATCAGTGAACAGAAAACACTCGTTCCCGTTTGTCTTTTGTGTGTAGACCATTGTTTGCCGCAGGGAAACATGTAGAAATTTAGGGTAAACATGCCAACATCAGCAAAAATTGGTAAACAAAATGGCGATCGATACTTGTACCTGTAAACCGGAACCCAGGTATCTCTTTCAATTTGGAAAATTATATTAAATGCTTAAGACAAGAGATTATCCAGTTCAATTAATCAATTCATTGCATTTTGTTAACACTTAAAGCACAGCTAATGTCTAAAAGCTGTGTGAATAATGTTTAAGTCCTGTTAAATTAATTTGACCACCGTGTTTTCAAAGAAATTATTTCCCCCTTTAATAGTATACTATAGGATCCAAGAAAAGCTTGAATCATTTCCAGGTCTGCCCTACGGTATCGTTTTTAATAACTTCTCAAAACGCAGTTAATTAAGAATGGGCGAATGGCGCTTGACCGCGTGGTCAATTTTTTGGAAGACATGGAAGCTTTACCTTGGGTATTTTTCAATCATCATCTTGATTACTTGATATCTTCAAAATACTATCGGTTTGGCTTTTTTGGCGAAACAGAATATATTTTTGAACAGGAAGACTCCTCAAAGACGAGTCATAGAAAAACTTTAAAACTTTCAGGAGAAACACGGTCTGATATTATGCCAAAACAGCTTTTCAATTTTTGAATCAACTTTTAAAACGACTAAAACAAATTAATATTACCGCCATTTTACTAATTACGAGTCCACAGTCGTTTTCCAAATGCTTTTCAGCATTCGTTGATCATTCTTACTTTATGTAATTTTACTTTTAAGGACCCCACGCGAGAACCACGAACAATTTTAGCATGCATCAAATTTTTCCTGCAGTATTTGCAGTAAGTCCAGTAAGGGAACTGTTTTATTTTTTATCTTTTAAAAGACATTGAATTCCTATTGGAATAGCTAACTTTTAATACTGTGTGTTATTATTTTAATATTTTTCACCTAAGATCCTTTATCGCTGCCTTAGCCTACATAATTTGGAAACAAAAATTCTCGTTTTTCGTAAAGGTTTTCAGTACTTACTCTGTCTAAAGCAACATGTCAAGACGAGCAAAAACAACAACACGTCAGATGCCAAACATCCACCCATGTTGTTTCTGTGTTCTACAAGTGAAAAAAAAACACGACAGTAATAAAGAGGTTCTGGTGCCACAGTACAGACCATTATTTTTCGGAAGGGGGAAGGGGTGTCCTTCAAAATGTTGTTTGCAAAAAGAAAGAAAGCCCAAATAAAGCGACGGCTTCGAGTCCTTCAAGATATCGAGAATTATCCGACCAGTTTTGACCAATCACGAACGCCGAAATAGTCTTTGAATATATGTATAATAATACGTAGGCAATTCCAGCAGTTTAGTTTATGCGTGCAGGGGACGATGGGAAGTAAGGTATCACATTGCTGATTATGCTGAAAAAATAAAAATGGTGGCCGTGTAAACACGGAGTGATAGCTTATACTTGTAAATATTGAAATATTTCGGTTGTTTCGGTAGTTTTTATTGGAAGGCATAAACTAAAAGCTGAAATTGCTTATTGTACTGCTTATCTTACTCTTGGTACTTTTTAGTTCAGTCTTCAGGTGGCTTGGAAATTTTGACAAGCACTTGCGTGGATATTTTAAGCAGGGGCGTAGGAACGGGGGGGCATAGAAGGCACGTGCCCTACCCCCAAATTTTTTCAAAAGACTAAAAAAGCCCTTTTTTGTGATGAAAACTTCCCTTTTTGTACAAGCTAATGTCGTTGTAAATACTAAATTAACATCAAAGGTGCGCTTTTTGTTTGGACATTTTGATGTTTTTAGAAAATATTTGGTCAATAACGCCCAATTTCGGTATAGTATGACAAGAAAATTTTTGTCCCCCCCCCCGTCGTCAACATTTCTGGGAAGGTGCCCTTTTCAATATCCAAAAGTGCCCCTGGAAGTCAGTGCCCCCCCCCCCCTTCCCAATCTGTTGACGCTCCCACGCCCCTGATTTTAAGTACCAAATGTCAATTTAACACAAACAAAACATAATTTAAAGGTAGGGTACAGTCCGTATGTAAACAAACCCTGTGTTTACATTTCGGTATTCATAATATTGAACTTTATTCGACAACTATTTATATTTTCATGCTTCTGCAGTATATTACTGTAAATGATCAAGATACAACAATCAAGCTTTGCAAGAACATAAAATGAAATAAAAACCTAGTTAAAGTATTAGTTAAAGTGTTTATATCAACGGTTTTCAACTTGGGGGACATGTCCCCGAGAGGGGACATTTGGCAAATTCCAATCCTAGGGGACACAAACTGGTCTAGGACTGAGAAAAAAAATTCCATTATTTCCTGGTATTCGAGTAGTTACAATAGTTTGTACTATAAACATGTTTGCTTGACTTTCTATCTATTATTTAAAATTTAAATAATTTACTATTTTACTAACTATTTCGAAATTCGTGTTTTTGATAGACTTCAGTGGGCAATTTCTGTTCAGGGGACGTGGTAATTCAATCATGTGAAATCGGGGACACATGAGAAAACCAGTTGAAAACCGTTGGTTTATATGATAGCAGGAGACTCCTATGTGTACATGCGCAGACCGGACTGACACTGGAGTAAAATAATACCGGCAGAATTTACGTGTGTTCACACTATGGCGCTACAGTTTGTTTACAATTTAAATTTTCACTCATGTAAAGCCAAAATTTTTCAAATAGGGCAAAGGAACTTAATCGAAAAGCATTCGAATTTGCTGTTTTGAGACCCGGAATGTTTGCCAGCTTTCGGCAAGCAGTACAAAAAAGTCTAACGTTCGTCACTGCACGAAGCCGCTCCTTTTTCATCTCGCTCCGTGTAGAAACCGTGCCCGAATTGTTATGGCAAAAGTCAGCCCAGACCTAGGCCTTCTATTTTTATTATTTTTTAATATTCCGCGCTTTCCCATGGCAATACTTACCAAATGCTAGCCCGCGAAAGATCGTGACTAAAACACCACACGAGTACATACGAGTAACATACGAGTAACACACAAGTACATACGAGTAACATACGAGTACATACGAGTAACATACGAGTACATACGAGTACATACGAGTAACACACGAGTAACATACAAGTACACACGAGTAACATACGAGTACACACGAGTAACATACGAGTACATACGAGTAAAATACGAGTAAAATACGAGTAAAATACGAGTACATACGAGTAAAATACGAGAATCAGCACGCTTTCTTTAAAGTTTCTTTCACTTTCACTTTGGCTTCGTATTATGTTCATGTTGTAAATGCCTTATTGACATAGGCGTACGAGACAGGGGGCGGGGGGGGGGGCAACTGCTCCCCAAAATTTTGGAAAACCATGGAAATTCGAGCAAACGCTAGGAAAAATCAAGAAAATTCGGGCAGATTTATGAGAAAATATGTTAAAATCAGGTTATTTCTTTACAATTCTCCATAAAAATTCAGGCAAACTTTCAACTGCCCCCTCCCCCAGAAAACATCAGCCCCGTTCTCCTATGCGTATTGATGGATTTCGAAGCCTCGCACGACGTAGAAAAAGTAATTCATTAATATAGAATAAAGATTTGTATGTTCTAAGACTCTAAAAAGGTTTAAATGTAGTATATTGCTCACAGGCTGTCAGAGAGTTTTTGTAGTACATGAAAGTGCATGTTTGCCATGTTGTTTATACGTCTGTAGTCTATGTGTTTTGCAAATTTAATACGTGAATTGTACACCGGGAAATATAAAATACTTAGGGTTCATTATTTATCGGTTGGGGAGGGGGGGAGGAGCTGGTGGATTCTAAAATTCAAACAGCATAATAAAAATGACCTCCCTTTTAATGTGTTTAAAAATGTAGTCCACCCCTTTAGAACAGTCTGAAAATTTTTCACCCTCCTCCAACATTAAAGTTAAGAAGAACATAGTATGGCCGTATGGTAGTTCTTCCCATCCTATTCTTGTGTGCTCTTTAATTACAACCAGGGGCGTAGAGAGGACCTTCAACTTGGGGATACTGGACAGGATTTAGTCAACGGGGGGGAGGGGGGGGTGAAATAAAATCCAAATCCACAATATAATTGTGTATAATCTTGTCTAAGTAAGTACATATATGGCCTCAAGAAGAAAGGGTTTACTTTGGGTTTTTAAATGTAAAATATATTTACTTTCAATCATCATTCGGTTTTAAAAGTAATTCGCTTTATTTTAACCCATCATTTTCCATCACGAAAAATCATGTCTTTTATGCATTATACAGTCTTCGGACTTATGCAAACTCAAACCCCGAAAATGCAGGAAATCGCATTTCAGGGACTCTAGATTTCAAAATATTCTGGGGGAGCATGCCCCCAAACCTCCCCTAAAATGGCTCACGCCTTTTACACTGGCTACGCCACTATCTCTATACTATCTTCTTTATATCAATGCTATAAAATTTTATTGTCTCCCCAAAACACTTCTTCAAAAGATTTAAACCACTCTTTTTATTTTACACCCATAAAATATATCCCCCCATTATTTTACCAGCCCCCCCCCAACCGAAAAATAATGAACCCTAAGCATTTTATCGTTCCCTGTTGAAAACGTATTAACAGGTGTACAATTGACGTATTAAATTTGGAAAACACATAGGAGAACGGGGCTGATGCTTTCTGCGGGGGGGGGGGGGGGGGGGGTTGAAAGTTTGCCCGAATTTTTATGGAGAATTGTAAAGAAATAACCTGATTTTAACATATTTTCTCATAAATCTGCTCGAATTTTCTTGATTTTTCCTAGCGTTTGCCCGAATTTCCATGGTTTTCCAAAATTTTGGGGGGCAGTTGCCCCACCCCCCCGTCTCGTACGCCTATGTCAATAAGGCATTTACAACATGAACATAATACGAAGCCAAAGTGAAAGTGTGAAAGTGAAAGAAACTTTAAAGAAAGCGTGCTAATTCTCGTATTTTACTCGTATGTACTCGTATTTTACTCGTATGTACTCGTATGTACTCGTATTTACTCGTATGTTACTCGTGTGTACTCGTATGTTACTCGT